GGGTGGGGGTGGTCCTTGAGTCTCCAGGACTTCTCAGGCTGACAAACGCGCTCTGAAGTTAARGGCCCCCCACCATAAAACTTTATTGCCCCCTTTTCCACCTCTCCACAGGAACACACACTCTGCTTCCTGTTTTGTCAGGGAAGGAAGAGCCACACGAGCTTGTTAGAACAACACAAAGTGGAAGCAAAAATCTTATTTTTGGTTTCTATTTCTGCAGCTAAAATAAGGGGGGGGGGCAGTTTGATCAACCGTTACGTTGTAGTTAATGCATTTAAGAGGAAATAAAACCACTTGTGTCTGAATTCAGCAGTACAGCTTTAGAGGAAGGACGTATGACGCAGTTAAGCCCAAGGTTATGAGGTAATTCCTCTTTCTAGCGCTCCTTAAAGAAATGAAAAGAAATGAACTCACCTCTCGAGCTAACAGGTTCACACTGAGCTTCCTATCTGAAGCGGTCAACGCAGCGTCCACTTTCCCTGCGCTCTGCTATAGGCCTTACCAAGTGGACGATGCCTTCAGTCCCTTTTTGAATGTCCTTTTTTTTCTTTTTTAAAAGGGTATTTTCTAAGTTTACAAGGTTACATATGCCAATCGCCCCAAAGCAGGGCCTGTGAATGGTGCGCGGGGGAATCACGTGGTGTCATTTAAGTGGGTTTTATGGCCTGGAAGAGCTGACAAACCTTCGATATATACACATCATATATAATCTGAACTGTCCGGAATCGCAGCTGCCGGCTTTCCCCCCTTCTCGCAGGGAGAAAGGGCTCTTTGGCGCGTGAGGATGCAGTACCTTTCTCCGGACTGTGGAGTTCGGCGGTGCGGAGGTCCGACAGCTGCAGCAGTAAGTTGGTTTTTAACTTTGACCACATGCAGGCCCGCGACTGAGCCGCCAACGCTCCGTCAAATTAACCTTTTTTTAAATTAAATTTATTGCATCATAGTGTAGCTTTCAGTGTGCCACAGCTGAGCCTTGGCGCTTTTATTTGCTTATAATATGTTGTTTTGTAAATAAATAAAAAAAAATGCGCAATGGTAACTAAATATCTGCATGTTGACAGCAGAAACGGAATCATRGAAACGACTTTCATGGCTGCAGTTACTGTTTTGTTTATGGAAGCAACAATTTGATTGTTAATATAACTTTTATTTCAATTATCTGATAATATTTACGCAAATATTCTCTGTAAGTGTTGTCTGCTTGAGGGGAAAAATGATTAAAAAACGTGAAACTTGCGCCTGATGAAAATTGAAAATTGAGCCTAAAGTATCCAAAAAAATCAGCTGGCGTCCTGCCCCCCACCATCACCCACCCC